TGGCTGGAGTTGCTATAGCAACCAGGCTCACACCTGCTCAATGAGCTCTGTCTGTCACTCTGACAAAATGAATCTTACAAACCTTCGTTTCAACTGCTGCTGTGTCATCAGTGTTTGCTCAAAGAGCAGCGCGTCACAGCCCCCACTGAGGTTTGCCTGTGAACATCTGAAAGATAAATATGAGTTTTGGAAGTCTGTGCTTTTGTCTGATGAGACTAAACTGGAACTGGTTATCTTCATCTGTGGTCCTTGTCTCCATGTCTCTGCTGGTTGTTTCAGGTTAGCCTTGCGTCGTGTCTCTGTGTGTGTCTCTAGTCTGGGTCACGACCTGTGAGTGTGGTTTGTTTCCTGTCTTATTTTGATAGTCCCGTTTCATGTGCGTCCTGTTCTTTCTCACACTTAATGGCAATAAAACTGAATTTATTCTAACAGGAATCAAATCAAAACCGACTAAAGTTCCAACCAGCAGTCTTTCATTATCCATCTGTAACTCTGCTGCCACACCAGGTTAAGAGTCTTGGTGTCATCCTCAACAGCACTCTTTCCTTTACAGCACATATAAATTATATTTTCATCTTCGTAATATTACCCATCTTCGTCCTTCTCTCGCTCCAAACAGTACCGCCTTACTCGACCATGCTCTTGTCACCTCTCGTTTCGATTACTGGAATTCTCTCCTCTGTGGTCTGCCTCATAAATCTCTCCGTAAACTGCAGTTAGTTCAAAATACAGCTGCTCGTATTATATCCAGAATTAGATCCATTGAACATATAACAGCTGTACTTAAACAGCTCCTTTTGCTTCCAGTTTCATAACCTCGCCCCTCCATATTTACCTGATCTCCTCCGTACGTGCTCGCACTCTCGTCCGCTCTTCTTCAGCCTCCCGTCTGTCTGCTCCACCTGCTCGCCTGACAGGACTCAGAGCCTTTGGTTGTTCTGCCCCGAGACTTTGGATGCTCTGACGCCAGATCTCCGGGCTACAAACTCTGTCTCTACTTTTAAATCTTCAAACCCATCTTTTCAGGATTGCGTACCCTTCATCGTGACTCCATCTTTATCTTTTTTTTTTTTTTTACCTTGTTTAGCTTTTATACTTGTTCTTTATTTTTCAATTACCTTTATGTTTTTATTTTGTTGTACTAATGTAAGGTGACCTTGATGATCTTTAATGGTGCCTAAAAATAAAATGTCCATCCATCCATCCATCTTCTCCCACTTATCCGGGCTGGGTCGCGGGGGCAGCAGCCGAAGCAGAGAAGCCCAGACCTCCCTCTTCTCAGCCACCTCCTCCAGCTTGTCGAGGGAACACCAAGGCGTTCCCGTAGCAATGGGCCAAACACCCCATACTCCTGGAGCACCATACTATAATAAAATGTATTATTATTATTACTTCCTGTGTGTCATCCTTTAGATTCCTTTCAGCCACGTTCCCCGGGTGTGTCCTCTCTGCCCTGATTCCCTCCTGCGTCCTTATTGTCTGAGTCTCCCTCTGGTCTTTGTCACATCCTCATCACACCTTTCCCATGTGTGTGCACTGTTTGTTTGTTTAGCAACCACTAGGTTCTCGACTCTAGTTTAGTCCGAGTTTTCTGTTACTTTTGCATTTTGTTCTCTAAGCTCCAACAATAAACCTGTCTGAGTGAAGTTCCTCTCTCTGTGGCCTCTGAAAGCTGCCAACCACACAATGACACATGACAAATAATGTGGTTTATTTTATGCTTTGAATCACAGTTTGTACGCAGACAGGAGAAAACTGATTTTAAAAAGAGAAATTTTTGATGTTTACAGAATTTATAAAACATAAAGTACAGGTTTTATTATACAAGCAGAACGTCACATGACTGTGTTAACACTCTGCCATCTGTTAGACCATCCCCACACATACTTCATATGTTCAACACTCAAAATCAAAACCTTTCTGCCAGCAACCGCACGTGCTACAGTGAGCAGAGGGACACTGAAGAACCATGTGACACTAACCAGAACCCAGGGTACAGGGGTTTGCTGAAGGTGGTGTGGAAGGTGTAGAGATGGATCGGTGAGCCGGAAGAAATTCTGTAGAAGGTCAGAGTACCAGCCGGCCAATCCACATACACCGCTACTCTGTGAGAGGCGGAGGAGGAGGAGGGGATGGCTGTTTCTCTGTTATTGTGCCAAACCGAGAAACTTTCATCTTCAGCACACCTCAGACTCCAGGAGTGATCGTTCCCTCCAAACCTGCAGTCATAACTGTTTCCTCTCCTTCTGACGCTCCTGTAACTCACTGCTATAAAAACAAATCCTTTCCACTCGACCTCCCAGTAACAGCGACCAGTCAGCCCAGTGGTACATAGCAGCTGAAGCCAGACATCAAACCTCTCTGGATGAACAGAAAAAGGCTGCTTCTCTGTCACTGCCGTCACCTGCCTGTTGTTGTCTGACAGTTTGAGTTTCCTGTTTGCTGTGTTTGCATCCAGTGCAAGTTCACAGAAATCTGAGAGCGGAAGAAAAACGAAGCATCATTAACACCAGACTGACAGTGATGTTTAAATAAATACAATCTAAAAAGTTACTATTGGGATATAAAGGGACCAACACTGTGGTCTGGTCATTTAATCATTTTCTTTTTATTTCTGTTGTTGAAGTTAGAAAAGCATCACTGGTTGTGAGAAATGAAAAAAAAAACCCAGAAAGAATGAAAACTGTGGAGGTTTAATTGAAAGTTAGCTACAAACAATAGTTAAGTACTGTGGTTGTACGTGAAGTCAGATCTAGACTTGTAGTCTAAACCAGGACCAAGACAGACCGAGTCAAGATAAGACCGAGACGGTTCATCCCAAAGCAGCATCTGGCTGCAGTCTTTAAACTGCAGCCAGATGCTGCTTCGTTTACGGGTCTCGGGCATATTTATGTGTTTTTGCGATGCACAGCCCTCCTCACAGCTGTCTACTCACTCACTGAGAGGACAGACATACAGGGAGAGCAGAATTATTAGGCAAGTTGTATTTTTGAGGAATAATTTTATTATTGAACAACAACCATGTTCTCAATGAACCCAAAAAACTCATTAATATCAAA